AGAGAGAGCGGTCTTTCACCAGGTCTGGTCACAGCGCAATCCTGTTCCTCCATCCCATCAGATCTTGGGCACTTGCACACGTGCCTGGTGTGTTTCAGGCTGACTGGGCTGAGGATTTGAACCAAGTTTGCCATGTGGGATCCAGCTTCTCTAGAGTAACACATCTCCACTGCACCATGAAACTGGCTTCACACATTCTATTTTTGTAAGAATTATTTTATTAATTTATTATTATTATTTCACATGAGTTTTTGCCAGAGAAAGATAGAGAAGGAGAGTGAGAAAGCAAGTCTCCAGGTCCGGGACTCAAACCGAGGTTGGCCATATGGGAATTCCAACACTTTAATCACCATGCCACCTGCTGGCCCCCACACATTCTATTTTGTGCACCAAAAACCACTACTCTGAGAAGAGGCCCAGAAGCTTCACAGACACTCAAGGCCCCAGATCACAAAGATTAGAAACTGCTTTAGAGGAAGGACTTGCTCTGGCTTGGGCAATGCTAGCATGGTTCTCTTGCACAAGGGCGTCTCTGCCCCCATCTCTCTCCCCCCCTTCACATTTCTTACCACGCAGTGGGCCCCCTGCTGGCTGGAGGATGTGTCCCGCGTGGTTGTGCCAGGAGCTCTCTGGTGTCCTGTCTTTTGGTGTTCCTCAAGCATTTTGAGGAAGACCCAAGTATGGCCCGGAGGGTCTGGGCCTGCTTGTGCCCCAGGGCAGCTGGAGCAGGCCCAGGCAGTGGGCAGTCTGGCTTTACCCAGTGGGAAGACAGAAGAGAGAGGGCTGCTTCTGCAGGTTTTAGTTCTGCCGGGGCAGCATTTACAGCTGCTGCAGCTGACCACTTCCCTTCCTACGCAAAAGCCAGGCTCTGGCTCTAGGGGAATGTGAGAATGCAGAGAGGAGAAGAGAAAGAGAGGGGATCTCAGCTGGGGCTGGGGTGGGGGCTCTGGATGTCCCAGTAACATCTGCTGTCTGGGTCCCGAGGCATCTTTCCCAGCAGTCATGACTCATCTGCAGCAGTGACAACCACGTGACAACATCTGCACTCCCCCGGGTGCCCGTGTGGGATGGCAGAGCTCCATGGCTGACTTTGCCTCTTACTTCAGGATCACATGGAAGACTAGAAAGAACATGGGAGTTGGCATCAAAGAGGCCTGAGTTCAAATCCTGCCTCTATCCCTTCCCTTGCTAGCGGGGCAATCACGAATTCAGGAAACAGTCCTGAGTGTGAGCAGTGGGCTAGACACTGAGGATGCAGAGGGGCACGAGGCAGGCAGGGCCCACCTGCCCTCATCAAACTCACTCTGTAGAGGGAGATGTCCCCAAAGACTGAATTACAAACTGCAAAGTGATGAGGATTACAAAAGGAATAACCAGGAAGCATGGCCGAGAATACTCAAGGCGGAGGTAGAGATGAGATTCGGTGAGACAGGACCATTGAGGATGGCCTGAGAGGCGACACTGAAATGAATACTAAAAGCTGAGGCTGAGCTAACCATGGAAAGAGGAAAACTTTCTGAGTGGCAGGAACAGCGCATCAGGATTGGGGGGGCCAGAGAGGAGGGCAGAGGCCACTGGATGGTGGGGGGGCTGGAGTGCAAGAAACTGCAGGAGTTTTCAGTAGGGGAGGGACAGATTGTAGGGTTTTATTTAAAAAAGAAAAAAACATTTAATTTTATTTGTCGCTATTATTTTTTAATTTGACCCGAGAGAGAGAAAGGGAAAGTGAGAAAGCAAGCTGCCAGGTCGGGGACTCAAACGGTGGTCAGCCATATGGGAGTCCAACTCCTAACCACCATGCCACCTGCTGGCCCCAGGCTGTAGTTTACTTTCTTATTGTGGCAACTTAGACTTTGTTGTCTTAACCACTGTAAGGCATATGGCATTTAATCTGTTCACTCTTCGTTGCACTCTAAATTACTATGGAGTTCCAGAACTTTTTCATCCTCTCAACAGGAAACCCCTTCCTCCCCTCCCACCTCTCTCCATCCATACACGCCCACTACGTATCTATGGATTTGCGTTCCTCGATGTTCCCTATAAGGGGACTGACACGCTGTGTGGCTTTTGGTGTCCAGCTTGTCACTCGGCATCCTGTGTCAGTGTTTCAATCCTTTGTGGCTGAATCATAGCCCATTATACGGATAGGCCACATTTTGTTTATGCTTCCACCCATCAACCATCTGGTTTAAAAAGATATTCCTGGGGCTGGCAAGTGGCGTGGTGTTAAGGTGCTGGACTCCCATGTAGCTGACCACGGTTCAAGTCCTGGACCTGAAGGCTTAAGTTCCTCACTTGCTTCTTCATTGTCTCTCTCTGTCTGTCTCTCTCTCTGGCCAAATTAAATAATAATAATAAATTAAATTAAATTAATATATATATTTTTTAATGAAGATATTCCTGGGAACCAGCAGATGGTGTAATGGTTATGTCACTGGACTCCTACATAGTCTAACACTGTTTGAGTTCTGGACGTGGTGGCTTAAAACTGATGACAGGGGACCAGCAGTTAGCGTAATGGCTATGTCGCTGGACTCCCATGTAGTCGACCGTGGTTTGTGTCCTGGACCCGGCAGCTTCAACTCACACCGGGGGGCATGTGCGTGCATGCCCAAGATCCTGAGAGGAGAATGGAGGGGAAGGGATTGTGGCGTGGCCATCCCCCTGGGGGGTGATTTTTCATTCCATCTCTCTGTCTCTGTCTGTCTGGCGAGCGCACGTGCCCTATAGCAAAAACCTCTCAAAAAAACCCAAAAAAACTGATGCCAGGCACACATGTGTGTGTGCCCAAAATCCTGAGAGGAGAATAAAAAAGGGATTGCTGTGTGGCCATCCTCCTGGGGTGTGGGGGGATTTCTCGCTTTGACTCTCTGTCTCTCTGTCTCCATGTCTCTGGTGAGCATGTGTACCCTATGTATTTCTGATTGCTAGGAGGGGGTTGGGTTAG